AGTATAAGGGTATTATTAATGAGAATGCCGGTTTTCAGGCTAAGGCTCTTCGACTACGTTGACGTCAACATCGTATAGCCTGCATTTATACCTTACGACGTCGCCGTTGACGTCGACGTAAGCGATGTAAAGTATGAATGCAGCCTAAGAGCAAGAGAAATCCAAAATAAAAATAATGAGCTCGCAAAAGTTTTCCATTGCTTCTCGCAAAGCACTATCGACAAATAGCGAAAAATAGAACAGTTGCGACTGGTGGAGAGTGGTCTGGCAGCGCGCCAAATGCCGCCGTGCTGACACGCCCCATCATCCGCAAGAAACCATTCTATATACTGATCCACATCCACACAACTCCTCCAGGCACAAATTAAGTGAAACACTCCAACTAACACGCCAAGATTTCAACGAGAGATACACCGTCCAAAGTTGTTAACTTCAGGGAACAAGACACTTTGGTGGACACATTGTTGGAGTTATTCGGGAGGAAAAATCTGTTACATACTCGACAAAAACTATGTCGTGCAATGTTGTGGCGTTGTCAGAAGGAGAAATGCGGTTTGAAAACAATTAAGGTAATTTAACGGTCATAGAAGGTCTCTGAAACAAAAATTGCACCATCACATTGCTGATTTTCATTGAAAACAAAAGCACCTAAAAATAAATGTGTGAGAACCCTCTGAAGTTGACTTGTTGAGAGAGCCGTAAAATGACATAGAAATCCTGTGCAATTCGCAAAAACAATATTTGACAAAGGTTTTATCTACCTATGATATGATCCGCAACGACAACGCGACAAACCCAATGCGGACAGCAGCAGTTTCCACCAAATATTGTCTGCGACCTTTTCGCTTGTTGGTTATTGCCAAAGCAATGTCGGAATTTGCTTCAGTTCCGCTTGATTAATGTCAATCTACGTAAGGTGAAATGGATCGGTTGCAGTGTTGCTAGAAGCTTGTTGAGAAAAGGTTATTGACGACAGAGGGAATCGGGAGTTCGCGTGTTGCCGATTCGGCGGTCGCCGTTTGCCAACCGGCGGTCATCCTGTCGCGCCGCCGTAGCTTCTGCTCGCCTTCGTCCGGGCGCCCAACGCTTTCTGAGGTTCGAAATGTTGCTCGCGGTCATTGAACGATCAGGCTCCAAAGTTCTGAGACTTAATAAGTCCCCTGAGCTTGCAATGTTTCATTGTTTTTTCTAGTTTATACCGGCTTAGGTTCCGAGGTCGGCCTAATCCTTTTCCTCACCGTATGCTATTACTCCTAAGCACCTACCCACGTAACGCCCAGCGATGCAAGCACTGCTATCGGTGTGAGCTTCCAATGCAACCACTAGTGTCTTTATCAGCGTTAGGAGAGTGTGATCACAACCACAACATCACTCAGGTTGATAACGCAAAGTAGCTTGCAGTTTTGCTACCGGTCCGCACCTCCTGTCTTTACCTTGTCATACCAGCTGATGCTTTTGACTCCGTAGTCGCTGTTTTTATTTTCAAACCTGCGCCACGCACCCTCACCAACCACACCCTCCCTACATCCCGCCCTGTTGCCAGACGAGCAGCACGTGTAATGGTTTGCATGCACTAAATGACAGGCTTTCATCGTAGAAGAGTGTTATCACAATAAAAACATCATATTCATACGGGTCTACCAATTGGACTTCAGCTCATTTAGCAGTCGTTTTGTCCTACTCACTGAATCACACGAAGCGTCCAGCGTACAAAAACACACATGCATACATACATTCATACACAAATACACTTTTATTTCTGATATTACCGACTTTCGCCACGAGTTAACTAACATTCACTTCACAACTGCCCTACTTTAGATCTTGCTCGGGAAGTTTGTTGACGAAGAAGAGTATCTACGAGACAGAAGTTCCGACGAGCTTTCATTCTGGCTGAAAAAGAACAAACCAAAAACGATACGAATGAATTGGTGTTGTCCTAAAAAGGTATGAATCCTATTGGTAATCTGGTCTTCAATCATAAATCGAATTTTTGAAGACCGAGTCAAGTTTCCTAAAATGCGGACTCCGTATGGACAATATGCCTCTGGTCTACGATTCGCAAAACTTGCCAGTGACTGAGGAGAAATGGAATAAAACTGTTTTCTTCTCGAAGCCACACGGAAGCTATAAGTGGCCTCCGTAAGTTAAATATCACTTATTGTATCGAAGCGAGGGGGTAAACATCCCTTTGCTGAATGTACCTCGACCATTCCCCCTTCCCTTTGGGAAGAATCCTACGATATTTATGGAGTATTCACAATGATGATGGGTAAAAACGTCGATCGGTGGAGTACCCACGTGTTAGCGAGATCCTTTCCTCGCAAAGCGCTCGCACGCCAGACGGCTACCATCTGCCCCTTGCTTGTAAAAGTGCAGGGCGCTCCCGCTGAATCTCTTGATCTTAGCATCGATGTTCTTGGAGCACGTTGCCGCTGCAGGTGCAAGCAAAACGAGGTAGAAATCAAATTTTTGCCAAGACCTCCAAAAGAGTGCTTGTTTGCTCGTAACTGTGTTGGTACTTGAAAAGCACCACAGCATTTCCGTGAAGGGTACGCGAGTTGCAAGAAAGCCTTGAAATAGTTCGCAGTAACCAAGGTACTTCACTGCTGCTGGACTCTTACAGGGTACTACGTCGTTGAGAGGAAGGGAGGGGGGTCACATTTGGACTCAGATATTTCATGGCTTTTCTCATTTCAAGCCTACTATGTAGTTCCATGCTGGCGACGAAAAATATCACTTATAGTTAGCTTGAGGTGTCCCCGACTCGACGGGATTTTTTCGTGATGAAGTGCCCAGTCCCAGACAAAAATATGAGAAAGTAGCGTGCCTTCTTTGCAGCGGATCGCTTTCTCGAGCTATTGGCTGTTGGGAAGCAGTCGAGTGCTGCTTTGCGAGCCGCACTCGACTGCTTCCCACCAGCCAATAGCTGTCCAACTTACTTGGATACTTGGACGCTCGTTTTCAGCCGGTTCTCTTCAGCGACGAGCACACGCTTCCCTCCATTGTTTGCGATCTTGAGCGGTTTGGACCCAGTGTTGGTCTGCAGCTTCTTGGAGTTGCTTCAAGGAGTCTCTCCAACGGGTTGCAGGGCGGCCAGCCTTGCGCTTCGCGTCTCTCGGATACCAGAGTGTGATGCGAGTGGTCCACCGATCGTCCGTACGTCTGACCACATGTCCGGCCCATCTCTTCTTTGCATTCCACGCGTATACTACGGCATCGTGGATGCCTGACATTGAGCGCATGTCTGTACTGCGCAGATTGCGACATCTCTGCTCACGGCGGTCAGCAGGGTCCGTTCCAATGCTCGTTGGGCACGTGTCAACATCAGCGTGGACGCCTTGTTCTCTGCCCACGTCTCGGATGCGTAACAAAGTGCAGGCAGTACTGTAGAGTCGAATAGAGCAGCTCGTATTTTCCTGTCCGAAATGAGCTGGGCCGCCTCTCTTATGCGTCCCATTGCCGTCCATGCGCATTTTTTTGCGTCTCATAATTTCACCATTGCGCATCACCTCGGTTTTGCTTCGGTTCATCGTGAGGCCAATAGCTTTGCCGACGTTGTTCAGTTCCTCCACCATCCGCTGTAGCTCTGCTGAGTTTTGACTGATAAGGACAATGTCGTCTGCGAATCGTAGGTTAGATAGCTTCTTTCCGTCGACGTTGATGCCTTTATCGTCCCAGTCGAGTTGCAGCATCGCGTGGTTGAGTGCGGTGGTGAACAGCTTGGGAGAGATCGTATCACCTTGTCTGACTCCTTTTTCGATCGGCACTCGTAGCTCTCGTTGAAAAATGCGGATGGTGGTAGATGTGTCCATGGTGCATTTTTCCAGCAGGTTTATGTAGCACGGGTCGACACCAGCATGGTGCAGCGCATTCCAAATAGAGTTCAGTTCCACACTGTCGAATGCTTTCGTATAGTCGATGAAGCAGAGGAGGAGCGGCTGCTTGTATTCCTTGGTTCGCTCAATCAACTGCGTGACAGTATGGATGTGGTCCATGCAACAGAAGCCCTTGCGAAACCCGGCCTGTTCCACTGGTTGATAGTCATCCAGTTGTTTCTCGGGATTACCTTCGTGAACAACTTGTATGGCTGCGAGAGGAGGGCGATGGGGCGGTAGTTCTTCATTAGGTCGCGCTCGCCCTTCTTGAACAGAAGAACCGTGCTTGACGTCTTCCACTGGTCCGGGACCTCTTGCGCGTCCATGTACCTGTTATAGCGCCTGGTGAGCTGTTTTATGACGGTGCGGGACGCCGACTTCAGAAAGTCTACTGAGATGCGGTCAGGTCCTGGTGCCTTCCCGGCTTCATTTGACGCAAGGCGTGTTCCACCTCCCACTCTTCTATCTGCGGGGCTGCGTCCTGCGTAGGTGTAGGTATGCGTGAAACCGGCATCGTTGATCGGTAGAGATCCGTGTAGAAATTGACGGCGATCTCTTCAATCCTCGCTCTCGATGTCTGCGGTCTGCCCATCGCGTCTCGCATAACCGTGGTGACCGAGCGAGAGTCGTTGATGTCTCGACGACATCGTTTGAGACTCGCTCTCGCTTCCGCCGCTTCCTTCAGTCGAGTATTCTTGTAACGCTGAATCGACTCCTTCACTGCGATGCGGCACGCTTTGTTGATCACGGCGCTCCAATGGTGTTGATGCAGGGTTACGATGGACGACAGCGCGTTGCTGCAGAAGTGCGCGAGCCTTGTCGTCAATCCTGCCTTTCGAATCCGTCCTTGTTGTGATAGCCGATGCCATAGCGCAATGTAGAAGTCCTTCTATGAGCATGGTATAGTCTTGCGACAAGTCTTGCGCCTCCTGCCACGTGTAGTGAGCGGCGGCCGCCTCCATGACGTTTGTGTCGTAATGTGGCAGCCGTATGGGAGGAGGTCGGAAGAAGTCGCGTCTTCGGATTCTCGCTCGGAGACGAATTTTTGCTCTGACCAGCCTATGGTCGCTCCCAGTGCGGAATGCATCCACCACGCTGACGTCGAGCAGACTCCACTTCCTGTTAGTGAGAACGTGGTCGATTTCGCTGTGAGTCGTTGGCATTCGGACTCTCCCACGTCCATCGCCGATCCTCTTTTTTCGTGAAGAAGCTGTTTCCGTGAAAGAGATTGCATTGCTCTAAGAGGTCCATCAAACGTTCGCCGTTCTCGTTTGTTTCTCCGGTTCCGTGTGGCCCAATGCGCGCTGTCGCTGGCATTTCCTCATGGATGACTGCGTTAAAGTCTCCGACAACATATTTGTAGTAGGACCGTTCCCTTTTTATCATCTCCTCCAATTCCTTGTAGAACGCGTCCTTTTCTTCGTCCGTAGCTGCTGACGTCGGTGCATAGCAGTTGATAATACTAAAGAAAGTGCGCTTGTCGACCGAATCGACCATATGCTCGAGCCGATGGTGGACGAGGAATCCAACACCACCGACATTTCTTCCGCTCAGTTTGGCTCCGAGAACAATTAGGTGGCCATCGTTGGTCTTCCTGGTAGCTGTTTCTTTTGCTTTTGTTTCCTGGAGAGCGATGACATCGAAACGAAGTCTTTTACTAGCCTCCATTAATATGGTTTGGTCGGCTATCGAGGCAATGGTGCGACAGTTGTAGGTGCAGACTCGTAGACAGTCCCCATGCCTCGAAAGCCTTTCGTCCTGTGCACTCCAAATCCTGCGGCGGTTTTTGTCTGCAGGTCCCTTCAGGTCGCCGTTTGCTCCAGTGCACGTAGAGCTCGTGCTTCCTTCTGCGCCGCTCCGGACCCTCTGTGTGCGTGTTGTAGCTTGTTTATTTACCAATCCTCGGGTAGCTAACCCTTTGAGGTGGTATGTACCTCCACTGTTAGCCGGGATATTCCCGTTTCGCCCCCTCGCCACTTCGAGGCCAGTGGTAGGATTTGGAGGATCCGAGTAAACTGTAGAAGTGGACTATCGTCTTCTTGTGTAGGCAGTAAAACAGGTGAACATCTCTAATCCGCGGATCCTTCAAAGCAGAGTTGCTGCTACAGTAAGACACGCTGCTGCCACAATAAAGTTTTATGTGGATGACAAAAATGATATAAACTGCGTTCTTTCAGCTTTGTTAGTGTCGTCGTCTACGCCTTCAAACCACAGCTCAACCGTACTGCCCTCAGTGATAGTGAGAAGGCTATAGTTGCAGCATTCGAGGATGAAACTTTGTACAAAAAATGGATAGAGTTGCTGCTCATTGAAAAGAATGACTCAAAAGAAGTGAACGACAATACTGTTTGGATGGTCAAAGTGAGTAAAACACAAAAAGAATAGAATTTTAGCTTGATTTCCACGGCCACTACGATGTATATTGCAGTACCTTCTACGAAACTTCCCCGCCAGTGAAGTGATCTACAAAAGAATCACCACAACACTACAAGAGCTGTTGAAAAGTAGAAAGGTGAGTCCTTATTGACTTATCACCACTATAATGCTTTTTTCTACCTTATTGAAAATCCACTTTGGGTGACTGAATCTTCTATAGTGTGCGGTTGGTGCCAAGTAAGTGATGAGTTCAGCGTAATACTATGGATGTTCCATGTAACAACGAGGCTAGCGCAAAAGAGCACACAATCTAGAAGTAATAGTAGAGTGCGAGTATGTGTCGTGAGCGGGTGCCACGACAAAGTAGGTCTTGCCAAGAATTGCAATGTGAGTTCGGATTTGTGTCACAGAGGTCTGTGGTGAATAGGCATCAACGTAATGTACTAGCAAACCGGAACAGAAACAGATGAATAATTACACTGTTAGCAGGAGTAATAAGTGGAGGTCGTGGACGACATCGGTCCTTCTTATATGGGCCTTCTGACCTTTTCGACCACAGTCGAGGTGGTCTCTCCGAGATTGAAGGGCCGCGCCCTGCGATCCCCTGATTTCAAGAGATTTGTCTACGCGGGGTGCTAGCCCGTCACGAGCATGCTTGGCCTTTCCTGAGGATCATGCTTACCCATACTAGGTCGTACTACGGAGAAACTGTTGCTAGCAAAGAGATGTGATTGACCTTGTGCGTACTACTACACAACGTGCATTATGTAACGTTCATCTGGTAACTCACCACTTACCATAATATGAAAGTACCACATATTTTGTACGTACACTATAATAAGAAGAAAGAACAATTGATAGCGTGAGGGTTGATCGCCAGAATACCAGAGACCTACAGGAGATGTGACAGTGGTATAGCGCTGCCTATCGCGCCAAAGATGAAACGAAAGACTGCTCGCACTATTGAATGAAAGACGATCGGTTAGCCGAATTGCATGACCCTGTTGCGGAATCTTGTATGACACGGAAAATAGAGTAAGGCGACTGTAGAAGCGTCGAAGGGTGCAAGAAAAACTGGCGAGTCAGTGGATGGTTATCTCAAGGGAAGGGAAGTCTGTGGTTGGAAAGCTGCTCATGAATAGGTGGAGTGTGCAACATAACAGTGCTCACCAAATGCAAAGCAGGTGAGAGAGTGCAGAAATATAAGAAAGCTGACGCGACTAAAGGGCTCGAATTGAAATAGTCCGTAGGCTACGGGCGCGCGGGCTAGAACTAGAGAAGCACGGTAGCTTTTCGAGTTCCCAGCATCTTCCATAATCTGAAGTGATGTACATGGGGCACGTTTTCCTACCGGTGCATACCATACAGGCTTCGAAGGTCGGACACAACTTCCGATAGTATGGTTATTGGATTTCAATGGGGCCCAATCGATACCCGTCAAACGGCTCCCTCCTTGTGGTGGTGGCTAACGGGATCACCACCGAGCCGTCAGGGCGAGACAGCCGTAAACACGAACTTTCCGAAGAGCACTAATTTTGCTCATTTTCTATGCCCACCTTGCGCAATGGGCCGGCTCTGCGCAATGACCTTGGTTTCTGTCTCGTAAGCCCAACTAGTAAGATCCTTGAACTGCAGACGAAGTCATAGCATGACTAAACCAATCGAATTTTGCCATTGAATTGATACCTGTGTTTTGCATTCGTTACTCTATTTAGAGAGCTGAACAACGTCTAGCTGCGGAAATATTCACGGGCGTCGCGAAAGGCACAAAGTATCTTGGCTTCAAAAAACTGGATCAGCTTTGGCAATGGTTGGCGCCGGCGATAGACAATCTTTACGATCACATGAACGCCGACGCCTACTCGGCTTGGCAGAGTGGTATCACCGACGTAAGAAATTTCTTTTAGAAATAGCAGTAGTTGAAAATGATAGACGCTGTTTGAGGTGCTCAATCGCGACGATACTAGACGATTTTGGTGGCTAGTTGAGCGCTTTCTTAGCAGTATGACACGTCCTGCGCCTACTGCTTGGCATCAGGGAATGTGAGTTTGTGGTGTTGGTGAGCCTCATACCTCAGTGACCTTCTTCAACTTTCAGCCGATCCTACGTGCTTCTGGCCACTGACTGGCGTGAGACGGAAACTCGTCGTAGAATATGTGAAATCGCATGGAAGAATCTTCCCAAAGCCTCAATAGAAACACAACGAATCGGAATCTCGACGTCAGGACCTTTCCAACTGGCGCTCTTTTGTGGAGACGGCTGTCTTATAAGAATACTCCTTTTCAGGTCACTGAAGCATGTTTGCACAGTATTGGAAGCCAACATGAACAATGATCTAAAGCATATGCCAGAAAGGTTTCAACTGGAAAGCGTCGATGTATGGCTGGCACGTTTCGAGAAAAAGGTGCTTGTCTCACTTCTGAGCTAGGTGACGTGAGTGGCATTTCCAAGGGCTTGGTCAGACGAGATCAAACATAAAAGCGCCGCTGGGCCGTGCATGCATTCGCTTTTGTCACGCCCCTGCAGTAGAGCAGTTGCCAGTGCTAACGTTGCGACGACGCGTTGCGATTGAACATTCTCTATACGAGCGCCTGAAAAGGGACTCTATGGGTAGATGACCACTTTTTCAACACAACACCAGCTCAAAAAGCTCATATTCATTGAGGAGACTTACTTAAATTAGACTTTGTAGCTGGACAAAGACTTTGCAGCTGGACCACTTTGCCTTATGAGGCATTTATGATTCCATTGTGCTCCTGTTAGTGTATCTGTCCGTTCGCAAGCAGTCACTTGTGGGTGCAATGGGAAAGATGGGAAGGGAGGACAATGGCGATAATAACCTTGAGGAAATGTGGAGAAGACTCCTTTTGCAAAGCTGAGAATAACGTCGTCAGCCTAAAATCTTACTCCAGAGGTAGGCTCACCTTCGAGGATGCTGACCCTTGCTATGTGCGAGATGTACGGATCCGTAGTCGTAGAAATGAACTGCGTCATTCGAAAATGCGCCGGGTGAGAGCGGAGGGTGGCAATAGCCAAATGTCCTTTCGGACTTCACCCACAGGCAGACCTCTAGACGCAACGTGCAACACGACTGATCATACGCTTGACTTTAGCCAAACACACTATTTGCCTGCGCCCTCTCACGTATGGCTGCTAAAGGCAGCCTGCCGCTCATGTTGTTACTGCGAGACTTTGGCATCGACGCACACGCAACGCATTGTAGATAGCGGGTGGTACTTGAGACGGCATCCAGCCACCACAACCCTCCAGGTTCATTTCCATACACTTTCGAGTGATGAAATTGGTGCATTTTTACAGCTGCGGGCCTTCCCACCTCACAGTCAAGCATCTTTTCGTCTCCACCCACCTTCCCCTCTTCTTCCTACCCTCAAACCAATCCATCCAGCCTGAAGCACGTTCCTTCTTCAAGCTTACCATAGAGACTCCCCCCTCAGATCATTAGCGCCAGGACTAGGGATAGGATTAGGATATTATTTTCAAAATGAACTTGCCCAGAAGGTGTGGTAGTGATAACCACCTCATCTGCTCTGTTAGACACCCGCGCAGGTGGAGGTGTTCACTTGTGAAGATTCGTGAGAACACAAGAAAAGAATACACAGTGGCTCTCAGTGTGGCGGAAAGAAGCTAATATCTAGATAGTTTGGATAAAAGAAAAATTTGCAGCTGGGTATGCTCGTAAGCCCTCCAAAGACGGCTTCTGATACCTCGATCAGGCAGCAAAAGAGCGCTTCAACGCAGTCAAGTGGAAAACAGGACGATATCAAGGCGAAAAGTACTACTCCTCCAAGTGCAGAGGTAAAAGATCAGAGAAAATAATCTGTGTATAAGTATAATATAAAAATCTTATATTTGCAGCAGCCTCTTATATACCTTCGAACTTTGCTGGAGTTTTTGCTACAGTACTACGAGGATTGCATCACGTCTCTTACACCGGGCATAGTTTCTCTCTTTCCGATGATCATTGAGTATGCTAACGAAGATGAAACAGAGTAAGTAGTGTGCTAGGGGTACACTGCATGTCCCGGAAATGGAGAGGGTGGAGCTGCTTATTCCATGTAAGCGTAGCGGCGGCCGCGCTTTTGAGTGGATATTGCCGTTTTGGGACAATTGTGATCATTTTCTTCTCGGGAACATCCCAAGATAACAGTTGTCTCAAATGAGAATCCTTAACCAGAAACGTTTCCTACGCTATGTTCTAACTGAATACGGAGCGCTCTCCATTTCCGGGATATAGAATGTATGTTGAGTCGTTTCTTTTGCAGATGCTGTAGCGTGTCGGGAGAAGGAGAGGAAGAGCTGGTTTTCTCGCGGCTCCAGCCAGTTCTCCACCTATTGTCAAATCCACCGAGCCACAGCAGTTGGAGGAAAATGGGCTTGCGCCGTGTTGAATCCACTCCTCTTTGATACGCTCCAGTATCACCAGCACAGACGACCATGGCATTGCTGCCAACCACCGCGCAAGTGGGAGTGGCGCTTCATCGCAGGCTACCTGTTAAGTTGCAATTGTGCTGAATATAGTGGATGTGGGACTTTCGAAGCCTAGCTCGTTCAATTTCTTTAGGGCGGGTCAGCCACATATCAACAACAGCGCTCAAAAATGTGATACCGCACCTCGCAAAAACGTTCTTTGTGCCCTGATACATGGAACTGAATGTGAAGCCACGCTTTAGAGCTACATATTATCAGATGCCGTCAACTCCATTAAAGGCAGGTGGCACGATAAATCCCCTAGGCGACTAGGATCAATACTCCTGGCAGGATAGAATTCCGCGACCCTGGGCAGGCGCTGCATAGCGGTTTCCCCGAGGAAGGTGCCCTTATAAGGGCCCTATCAAGCCACAACTTTACGTCCCGCCACGCCCGCCCGCCCACAAATGGACGACCGTTCCTGACGCTCGTATTCATTCATTTGCTAAGCAAATTATGAAGCGAAGGGATTGGTATGAAGCGGCCGTGATGCTGCATGCATACATGGGTACACATATGCAGCCGTATCTTCGGTAGCGGTGATTGGCAAGATGCCTACGGGAAACTCGTCCGAAATCGATTTTCAAGTCACTGAGAACGGAGGCTTTTTCTTCGCAGGATTTTGACCGTTTCACTCCGTTCTTTCGCCATTTCCCCACTATACAGCGCCCTACTAGCATTTTAGGCTAAGTAGGAAACCATCGTGCCAACTGCCTTAAAACTAAAATTAAAGGGTCAACTTTCAGACAAAACGAGTCTTTCAAGGATATTGATATTAAGAACAACGCTAGTGTGTTGGTGCACGAGTATATGTCTAGTCTATTAGTCACTGAAAAATTTGCCGATCCATTCCTGGATGTCGTTATCAAGGTGAGTATAGAAAGGGAGGTGGACAGAGCCTGTAGAGGGCACTCATGATCCGCAGCAGAAAGTAACACCCTACATTTTAGCTCAGTTCCTATAAGAAACTTTCTATTTTACACAGTCTATGGAGGTATACCCGATGGTAGTGAGACAGCCACATATTTTCCTTATAAGAGGGCGATGAAGACACCCAGCGCTGGTTGCCTGGCTTCCGGTCGACTCTTATACATATGTCCCTGGCCCTCTTTCGTCTTTCTTGACCCTCGCCGCTCCCACAGCTACGTCCGTAAAGCGGGTGTGATGTGGTAGCAAGAAGTACGCTTAGCACGCCCGCGGACAGGAGTCAAATCTCGCATCGGCTTCCTCCCAGGCCAACCAAGCCTTCTGCTCTACTGACACCGTAAATTGCTACCAGATTGATCTAGTGTCGCACGAGCAAGGGAACCTTTGACGACCCCCTTAGCTGCAATTGTCGATGTTTCCACCAGACCTTTCTATTTACTGTCAGGGCATGTCTGCGTTGGTTATCAGCGAGAGTCCTTCTTTGTCACAGCATGGAGAAGGTCGCACTTGTCTCTGGGAGAAATGTCTTCGGGATGATGACTTCACTTGGTGTTATCTGAACATCCTCCCTCCACTTCTTCCACCCCGCCGCAGTTTCTTTTGGGGGGGGGGGGAGGAGCAAATGAAGGTTTTACCCGAAAAAAGAAACACCAGAAGAACGGTGGGAAGCTGGGAATGCTCAGAAACTACGGAAGTAGGTGGGGCAAGAATGGGATAAATAGTTCTCACAACATTCTTCAGACGTTTCATCGCACAATTCTCTGGCGCGTACGGGTCTCGGTGTTGAAGTTTTTGCAAGTGATAGCGTTCTCCAACATCTATGTGCTTGAAATGAATGAACGAACAAAGAAAGTGGTGCGGCTGCTTTTTGAAGCTCTCATTGACGACCAGGTACGCAAGTTTTGGTTTTATATTCTGGACTTAACTGTAATGACATTGCTTTGCATTTAAGATGGAGGTACGACTGGAGGCTGCCCGATGTATGATGACATTAATTCATGTTGACTATATTAAAGTGGACAAATTCTTTGTGGTCAGCAGTAGTTTGAACAATATACCTCACAAGTATAGTCTAGTTCGCCGCGGACGAAGGAGCGTGTCAGGCGGGATGAGTTTGGCGCGGTGACAGACCCCTTCTCCACCAGTTGCAGCGAGCAAATGACAAGACTGTATCATATCGTTCGTATCACTCGTTTTCTACCAAATGTTGTCGCATATTCGCTTCAACAACTGGCAGAGAACGGTATGAGTGACACACTCATACTGCTTGACGCGCCCCTTCATCGGCAGTGAACTAGAGTATACCAGTGCGACCTCAGGATCTCCATTTTTTCAGAGTAGAATTCACGCATGTTCGGAAAGAAAGGAGCGCTCATCGCTGCATGGGGCCGTTCTTGGAATGGGTGCAGTGGTGATGGCACATCCTTACTCAACGCCACCATTCGTCGTTCCTTTGCTGCAATCGTTATGCACTTTCACCAGCCAGAGTGCTGAATTGCAAGTGAGTTTTTTCTGCTGACTGCCACGTCTGTCGGCAATTTTTTCTATTCTGGTTTGTCACACTCGCCCACAAGGGCCTTGCGATTCAGCTAACGGTAAGCAGATTCCCAAAGCGCCATATAAAAGTAGGCCAACAAATGCAGAACACCGAGACAGCAGAGGAACTCTGCTTCCTCGAACTTTTTCCTGCTGGCGGCGGATGTTTATCAGCGATTTTCTCCAATCGTCATAGCTCCGCACAAAAATTATCGGTGGGCAAGCTTCACGGAAGATCCGAGTGTCTTACCGAAGATCGGACAAAACTGCATGAGATCTGAGATCTTTTATCACTGGGCTACTCGTTCTAGTTTCTGGAGAAGAGAGAGATCAATAGTAACCTGGCCCTGCTATTCGAAACGCACGCTTGGTCGCCTGGAAACGAGGTCGCATACTATGCACGACGGGCTGCTTCTGACCACCATTATGAAGACCCTCGACTCACTGAAATTCTCGTTACTTCGGTAGAAAGGCGCAACTCACTCTATGACCCTCCTCTTATCGATCTCACGCGCACGAAGTTCCACTACTAAAATAATGATGAACGACGCACAAATTATAAATGAGTCTACGTTTATCCTGCCATAACTGATGAATTTTTCACAGGATGGGGGTGGGTCGTGAGTCGACTGGTTCAGAGCTTATTGCAGAAAATACATCTCTTGAAGACCAAAACCCGCGATCATCGCCATCACCAGTGTAGTTCGCATATAGACGACACAAGGTTCTGAGTAAACTCGATAGTGAAGAAATAAAAACATAGACCAACTGTTTTGCATACAAACCCCTCTCCCTATCCTTTGTACTAAGCATGACAACGGGGGCATCATGGCGGTCTTCCTCAATAAAGAACCCAGCCACGCACAATGATTATGCGACTTTATTTTCATGCTCACTCTCGTCCTTGCTCCTTTTTTCACCTGATGATAAGAGCTGAAGCGGGTCTGGCAGCGCGAGGACTGAGAAAAGAAATGCTCTGCTGAACCTACCTATACTGCGCTATAGTGCCCCTTTCTCTTACAAATTTTTAGCCGCGAAACAGAAAATAATTCGCCTCAGAGCAAAACAAATTAATCGACGCCATATTTTCAAGTTCTTTACCTGGTCGCGGACCGTGCCTTTAACCGTGAAATTGTCCCTCTTAGTCATAACTGTAGTCGAATGTGGGCAAAAAGTAGCCAGACTCAAAAACTCTGGCTCGCGGCAAGAAATACTACTGAACAAGTCACTTTCAGTCCGTAGTGATTAACTTCTGTTTCAGAGAGCGGCAACAATGGCTCTTCGAGAGTTCCGACGCAGCCACCGTGAAGAATGGGAGAAGACAACAAAAATTATCGGATCTGACCTAGTGTACAAAATCGAGAACGCAATCGCACCAATTTATTATGCTTAAATCACGCTTTAATAATTGTACTTCAACAATCGCTATCCGTGATTAAAATATTTTTTTGTCATTTTGGTAGCCCAGCGATTATAGTTGAGCAGCAATACAACATCAGCACACTCGATCACAACAGGGGGACTGTGTAGCTTAGGTCCGCTGCTTGCTAAGAGGTATATTGTGTGTCACAAAATAAGTAGTGGTGAGGATTATTCATCTTAATGACGTCTAAAAATATCTCACTGATATATGGGCTATGTGGTGTCTGTGGTACAACTACAACTTCAACCACTTTTCAAAAGTACTTTCCGGACCAGCGCCTACATCAGAATGGAAAATTTGGAGAGCTGTAACTAATCTCCCGAATAAGATGCAGTTGACGTCCAACTCTACCCAACTTTTGCTACAGCGGAATTCTGCGTAACCTCTTAAAGTGAGTCCATTTCACGCAGCAGTTAAATAAGGAGCCATGGCCAAGATCGAATTTGCCCACATACGCTATTTGTCCAAGTGGGAGGTGATGAGGTGAGAGGGCAGGTGGTGTGACGGTGGCAAATGAGGGCCTACAACGCGCGACGGGGTCAAATCCGCACCGACTCCAGCCCAAGCAACCCAAGCCTTCTACTGTAAATTGTTACTGGAAGGACAAGAACACTTATGATACAACACCCGCAAATCGCTGGATGCGCCATATCGTATTCAGAAAGCCACTACGGTACTGAATGGATGTAGACTGGGTGACGCATAAGGAAAGGAATTTGCGGAGACGCTCATCCTCCTGTCGAATGTTTCTCTAACACTTGGATCGCAGCGAGGTTCTGAGGTCTGCGCGAGCCGTCCACTCAACAGCAGCGACTCATTTTCTGGTTGACACACTGTCCAAGTGGTAAGTACTCCCCAATCCTGAGACGCTGCAGGCTTGGCTGCAGACTTTCGTGCCTACCGCGTCTCGTCCTGTTTTTGCACTGCAGGATTACTATTCATTAGATATTTCAACTTAGGGCGACTATCATCTTGTACGGACGTGGACGCTCAATCGGCAACTGCCTGCAGATACGCAGCCACGATCGCAACTTCATTTAGTCATGTTCCCTTTAAGCGAATTACGTGACAACTTGAACACTTGGGTATGGACCTGTTGCGAAATCTGTTTCGAAATCGAAATGTGCAGACAGCTAAAGTGCAGCGGCTGTGAAAACATGGAAAAACATGTAACGAGCCGTTCAAAAAAGTGATGGAACTCTGGATTGGGTGGACCGTGAAAAAACTTAAAACTGCGCTATCAAAGGAATTGTGTCCAGCATGCCCGTAGACCCTCAAACGGTAGAGCGTGTGACGGGACGTGAGGTGGATTGCAGAACATCCTTTTTTGCCAATTGTTGCGGACTTTTTATGAGATCATGATGGAAAGCCGCCTTGACAGCACTCCAGTCCACTCCCTCTTCACACGCATGTCGTTTGCGGAAGAAGGAAAAACACTTTGCTGGGGCGCACCTGACCCGGTCCTTGGGCTCACCATGACAGCGATGTCGCTACAATGGTGTTCTTGAAATATGCTCTTTAGCAGCCTTCCATGTCCTCTTCCTCTTAATCAGTCATCACTCATTACACTTCTGGCTTAATCCTTGTCCAAGTGTTGTATGCCATCAAAGTGCCAAGAAGTTTTTGTCTTGTAGTACAGCGCTGGCTTTTGTTTTTTGTCGCGCTATCGCTGATGCGTGCGCTCGGTGGGTTTTGTCGCGGAGCCATCGTTTGCAGAGATCATGACTTGACGCGCCCAACCCATCTTCGGGATATGGGGTGTAAATATCACTGGGTCAAGTGGGAGGTCATGAACTGCTGAGCTTTCACACCGTTGGTGTCTTGCCCCTAGCCACTTTTCACCTAGCTTCAGACCTCAAGCATCACTCTACAGCAACATGTGATTGATTGGTACGCCACAGCCTCTAGAAAATTGCGAACACTCGCTGTATCCCATGCATAAGTAGCGCTACCTTAGGAGATTTCTTCCTCTCCCAGAAACAGGACAAGTGCAGTGAACATTTGACAGTGGTCCCTTGGTGGAAGCTTCGGTGCGGTCGGAGGGCATGGGTGTACAGGGGGGGGGCAAAAAAGTCACTTCGACCGAGTCACATATCAGCAAAGTTTTCGCAGCCCAGACAGAGGACGTGGATACGAGTACCAGGGCGGAAGATACCCAAGATGTTCCTCGATAAGCAGGAGCTGGCTCTCGCCCATCACCTTCATGTACACCAAAATATGAAGTCATCTCCAGTCGCAGCCTGACTGGAGAAGACCTTTGGAATTCATGTCACCTCCAAACAGCTGCGAAACTTCTAGTATGGAGTCACCCATGGATAGCTACCTGGAGACCAGTACTCTCGATCTGGATGACCTCCAACATCGAGCAGCTCCGACAACGTCGCTACGGTCTAGGACATCATCTTCACCGTAGTCGCGAGTTGATGGTATGGACCGGAGTACCTAGAATGGGAAGACCGATATTTTCTTTGTAGACCCGGACTGAAGGTGAGCGCTGGCGGGTACATCGAGCAACTCGAGAAGAATATCCTCCCTACATGTCGTCGCCCGTACCTTCTTGGAAACTTTGTACTGCTACAGGTTTGGGTGCCACCACATGGAATCGAAGGGTTTTGGAAAAACTCTCGCCTACTTAGAATGGAAGGGCGTTTAGTACCTGAAGAAGATGAAATATTTAAGTATGTCCCCTGACCTAAACCCTCTCAATTACCGGGTTCGGGAGGAGCTCAACAAGGGGGTCTACAGTGGCCGAGAAATCAACTATCTCGCTGAAGCCAGGTACCGAACCACGGTTGCGTGGCAGAATCTCTCGACGGCGCTCCTCCAGAAGGCTGTGGCGGAGTATCATGATAGTATTTGATATGCTCTTTAATATGGTGGTAGAAATGTCCGATCAGAATTTGATAAAGTGTAACTTATAGCGCCTCGAATGTCAATGAAGAAAAGTGACTTTTTTTGGCCCTCCCCTGCATACCGTCACTTGCGGGTCGCGGCGTCGCGCAAAATTGCTAGCAAGCTGACTTGCGAGGAGCAGTCTAGGGAAGAAAGGCCGCGTTGCAACGCTTCCACGTTATCTGGATCGGGTCCTGGTGCGAACACTGCTTAGTTAATCCCTTTGCAACGCATCCTTCGCTGCTACTGGGAAATAGCAATATGCAGGACATAGATTCTGTCCATGTTTTTGGCATGAGGGATGGGCGATGGTTCACTTGTTTGGGTAAAGGTAAGGGCCACTCTCATGTGCGAAAGAATTACCTTTCTGGACTCCTCAAAGTTACCTGAGAGGCGTTATATCATGAACAGCTTGCTGCTGCCAAACACGTACATCTCAACACTTATAACTTTATTAGAAGAGCAAATTATTACGGCTGACAGGTGTATATTTTTTCGGGTCAGCACAGTAAAGTATCTACAGAATTAGTGTTAGGTAAGCCTTATAAAGACATCATATTTCACATGGTTTAGAGAAGTAAAAGAGATCGAGAATGCTAGGTAAACCACGAAAACATATCAAAATAAGTATTTCAAGCATAGTAAAGGGGTGCAATAGCATTCTCGATCTTGTACACAAGGTCCGATCCCAGAAGTTCGCTGTCTTCTCCCAGTTTTCTCGATGAGTACGACGGAATTCACGCAGTGCAGTCGTTGCAGTTTTCTGAATCGTAACCCTTCTTATTTTGGCTTCGAATGACCGGAGAAGCAGCGGCTCAAGAGGGCGCTGAGGCCATCTGTTATCCATTCTCCAGATGCTCACCCAATGCTCGAATATTGCTGCGAAAGGGCGTCATCCAGGATGTTGTCACCCTCACCCCCTCCCATGGTAGGTCACCCAGCAGCCACGAATTACTGTTTTTACCACACAACCCACAGCTTTCAATCGCAGAATGTGTCGAAGAAAGGTTTCGCTGAAAGGGTTCTAAAAGAGAGCTTCAAAATGTGAACTGACCTGAAGCTCAGCATTGTGGCTGGTCACACCACACAATGCCCGCAACATGGGTTTGATGGTGGGTGGTGTCGAGAATGGATGGGCTCGTACGACTGCACCCATTCCTAATATAGCGCCATGCAGTGAAGGAGTGCTCTTGTTCTTCATCAGATCATTCAGATAATTCTATAAAACGCTTCGATTGGAAGGGAAGAATGCTCGCCACAATGAAAGGTCGTCCAGGCGAAGCCAAATTGCTACCCGAAAAAGGATACCATGTCCCGGCACTATTCACCTTTCTGTGTCCACCTTCTTCCCCATACTCTCTACTCCTGGTCGCTGGTAGACGCTCTCAGACGCTAGATCGCGCTGATGGTCGCTGACGGACGCTGGTGAACGCTGATAGACGCTACCCTTCGCTAGATCGACATCTATACTTTCCCAGTCGCTGACGCTGGCGGACGCTGGAAACGCTGATTGTCGCTTGTGGACGCTGATGGACGAGTAGTGGAGTATGAACGCAGCCCAACGTTTGAACCGCACTGCCGCTTTCAAAAGTTTTGTCACTCATGCTGTGGGCAAAAAAACGCGATCCTCTTAGCAGGTGACGTACTCATTCCGCGAATCGCCACTCCGTTTCACCTTTGCGCAGACCTTCGACAAGCCGACCAAATACTACACCTTTATCCACCCACTCAAACAAGTACCTTTCCTCACTAACTCAAATAGGACCCTCTTTTCGAGAGTTCTCACATCAGAATGATAGTCGGGAAAGGAAAGAACTTACCGTAAGCTCGTCATCAACTTTTATATATTCACAGAGGATTAGAGTGAGCATGGCGCGTGATGCTTCCATACGTACTTCTACCTGCGAATTCATTGAAATCATCCGAAGTGGTTTGAAAAGCTCAAACCTTTTATCCAGGTTTGGCTCCATTCTCAGAAGAAAAGTGGGATTTGGGAAGAATAAATCTAGACCAAATCGAATAACCCTACTCTGGGTTAGGTAGAACATTACACATATAGTTGATATCGTCGGAAATCGGAGGGGCGGTGCCAAGAGTAGTGGAACTGAGCCCGCCGCGGCTGCTACTCCTACCCATAGTGGTCGCTTCACAAAGGAAAACATCCACTGGTAGAAAACGCCAATCCACTCCTCCTGACGTTGCTCTGCCGGACAATACGATTTGCGGCGCAGATTAATCCCTTGACGTTGACTTCGGAACCACCCCAGGATAATCGTATTGTATGAATTGAAGTCCGCAAACCTGGTGATCTATGATTGCGTCGTAGAGAAGTCTCAAGACCTTCGCAGGACGAATACCTTTCTCTAATTCATAAATGTTGGAGAAGACGAGTATTTGGACAAATTTCAAAACTGATACTTTAACACGCCAGAGATATGTGGTGTAGAATGACTGAAGCATAAGCTCATTTCATCCATTTTTATCGTGCCGCGAGCGAATCAGAGCGAAAATACACTCCTTATCCCTGAGACGAAGTAGGGGTGGCATTCGGACATGGCATAAATGGGTTACTCGTGGCATATTTCAGTTTGGACAACTGTCATCTTGTTCTGTGCTGGACAGAGACACGACTACAATTGTGTCAAAATGAAAACATCTCTCCAAAAGCGCAGCCACTGTTAGCTGAAGTACGTCGCCGCGCCCACCACATCTCAGGGAATTCATGTATAGCTCCGAAGGGTCCCTGATCCAAAGTAATATGTTCGAATCTCTTTTCGGCAGACCTGTTGGACTCTGAACCCTCTACGGAACTACTTGCTGCGAATGAAGTTGAATTTTCACGGTCACCAAGCAGAAGGAGAGGTTCAGTGTGCGTTACAGTTCAAGCGATATTAACCTCTGAAGCGATATTCAAGCTATTAACTCTCACTTGTGTGACGGTTCCTAGAAAAGAGTCTGCAAACTTTGGTACCAATAATAAGCTGGACATATTGTCATGTATAAGAGTATTAGCACTGAATTTGATATCCATATCTTTAAGAGAGCCGCATAACCTTAATAACTGTCATAATCTTTTGTTAGAGAATGAGTTTCGGAACTCGAAACCAAAACTTACTCGTACTCGGCGTCGTCTTCATTTGCATACTCAAGCAACACTGGGAACAACGATATGATACCAGGTGTGAGACATGTTATACAGTTCTCGTAGTATTGCAAAAGAAACTCCAAAAGTGTTCGCAGATAAATTTGGGACTGTAATACTTATTCGCCTTAATCGCTCGAACAAAGGGATCCAAAGTTGCGGTAATGACCACTAACCTTATCGATGACTGTAGTGGATGGAGAAACTGCGGCCAGTCTTTCGGCCAGTTCGCTTCCCGAAACAGCCTTAGATGCGGCCAGATTTGTTTCTGAACTTTGCGCACTGCTCCGCTCCGAATTGTTGCTTGTCGTCCCACCAAGCTAAAAACGGAAAATGGTATATGACCGCTTCGAGGACATATCATCGCCGGGAGATTCATCCAGAGGTGTCCTCATTGACTGCTAGAGTGGGAGTAAGGGTTAGCGGACCGGTGAGCAGTGCACCGAGTGCAACAGCGGACGGACAAGACAATCGCAATTTGTCATGTCGCATGATGTGTCGTAGGGGGACGCGTGGCAAATGCTCTATGTGCATTAGTTTGACACCTGCAGCAGCGAAATCATATGGATCCAAGACAAGACTCCATGACTGGTGATACCAAGTTTTTTCGTCCCTTAAACGCTCAAATTCAAGGCTGTGGAAGAAGCTTGTCCGTGGGGCGCGGCGCCACTCGCTACGCGAAGCTAGTGTTTGAGAGAGTTCAGATGTAAAGGACATAAGGGTGAAAGGGCGCTGTTTGGCGACGGGGGCATTTTGCACTTTAACGACTTCCCATCGACGTGTCGACCCATCTAGACAGCCTCTTCTCGAGTTGACAGGTTTTACCATGATGGCTTGACGAGCTTGCTCCAGCTTCACAAGAGTTCACAGGTTTCACCAGAGTGAGACTTGTAAACCAGAACTAGTGAAGCAACGAAAGTGCAAAATGCCCCCCCCCGTCGGCAAACTGCGCCGGGTGGAAGTCCTACAAAGTAACCAAAACTATGTGAAAGTTAGGGGCCCCTTCTGTATCTCAGAATAAAATTGGCATGCACGGGCAAGCACTACGGAGGAAGTTGCAGTGCATCTGCGTAAGAGTGCGCAATGCAATGCATGCAATGCAATGCATAAAAAGAAGAGGTGAATCAGACGATTTCTTATGGTTCTAATGGGAGCGTTGGCCTGCGAGCACGTTTATAGTCGTTTTCGCTGCAGACTTTGGAGTGTTTGCCGGCAGGGTTTGCCATTCCTTCTCCACAAATTATTGAAGCCAGCAAGTGATGAGCATAGGTAGAAAGCGTACTTTCGCCGCGCCAAACCCAACCCCTTGACACGCCCCAGCATCCAAAATGACTACAAGTACGATTGCGAA